ACGGCTTGGAGAGGCGGGGCCTCAGGCAGGAGCTGTGGGAGTCTCCGTTTCCCCTGGCATGAGGAGCCTTATCTCTGGCTCCGGGTGGGAGGTGTGGAGGCAGGAGGAAGGGTGGGTGCTGCTGCGGCTGTTCTTCCAGTTTTTTCTCCGTGTGTGTGTGTGTGTGTGTGTGTGTGTGTGTGTGTGTCTGCGAGTGCTCACGCTCCTGCCCATGAGCTCCAGGGCAAATGGCTCTACTCTGCCGGGACTGGGGACCAAGAGGCCCGGTTCCTGGGCATTCGCTTCAGCAGAAGGAAGGCTCTGTGAATAGAAGCCGGGAGACTGAGAAGAGGCTTGCTCTGCCCGGTTTCCAGAGCCCCTCAGCCTCTGCAGAGAAATCCTTAAGAGCAAGTCGCTGACAGCTCATTAGACATGGCTGACCAGTCAGTGGTGCTTCGTTTGGGCGTAAAACTAGGGATAGATTCTGTACCTCCTATTTATTTGTTGCAAATTGAGATGTTCGGGGATTTTTGTGTGTTTTGTCCTCTTACGATTCTCAGTGAACTAGAATTAGAGCTCAGCTACACAGACTGAAACCAGTGGTCTTATTTCTCCCCTTCCTAGTGATTCATCAACAGAAGCGATTTCTGACCTCTCCACTCCTCCTTTCCCTCCCTGTCTCGCTTCCTCTTTCCGCGTTCCCATTTCCCTTCTCAGCGACTGACTTCAGGGACTGGGATGGAGCTCTGTCGCCATCTAATGCCAAGAAGGGAGAAGTGCACTCTCCCCTTCAGACAAAGCCAACTCATGCAGCAAAACGAGCTGTTTGCCAGGTAAAAAGCCTTCAGCCTCGGGACTGTTTGCACAGCGAGACTTCCCACTGGGTTTGGAGCGCATACAGCCCGTGGGCTTTATTACTGGACCCTTAGAATAATCCTCACTCATTAGGGGCAAAGGAGGGCGAATGTCATAGTATCCAGTCGGGGTCTGTGCGGGTGGTTTGTTTCCTGTGGTGAAAAGAGGAAAACCCTAAAGGAGCTTGGGTTCCCTTGTTCCGTGCTTTGGTCTCGTGCATCTTTATCCCTAACGTGCCTACGACAGCCAGCCGAAGCCCGGAAACGCTCCGAATGTGCAGGTGGCCAGGCTCTGCAGGCGGACAGCTTGGCTGTCTTCTCTCCTGAGTGCATTTCAGGTCCTTGGGGCCCACGCCATCCTTCAGCGCCCGCTGGTCTTCAGTGTGTGCAGCCAGGTGCAGTGGCCTCGGGCGAGGAGGGGCGCTGAGCGACCGTGTTATGCTGTGCGCCGCAGTCCTCACCCAGGGCCTGCTGGAGGTCTGTGTGGGGCCGTGCACCCCACCACGGAGTCAGACGGGTGTAGAGGGAAGGGGGCCACTGCCGTCTCCTCAGAGCAGAGGTTCCTCAGCCAAAGTGGCCTGGGCTTGTGGGGCAGGCAGGGAGTGGCCCCTAAGCTGTTCTAGGCAGGATCCACAGCAGGAGGGCCCCGTGTCCTCTGATCACACCGCAGCCTTAGATGCAGCCTGAAGGTCTCCTCGGCGAGGCCTCCATGACGACCCCCGGGGGCTGTGGTGGCTCAGTGACGGATGACAGAGGTTCACAACTGTCCCTCATGGTGCTGGGGAGGTGGAAAGGTAGCTCCATCCATCGGAGCCCAAGCCAACCTTCCTTGGGCCCGGTTTATCAGACACAGGAGCCTTAATACTTCCTGACCTTTGTGCGGGCCTGGCCAGGTGCCCCTGTGGCCAGCGTGGTCCTCCCTTTTCCTCGGCTTTGCCACAGCTGTGACGCTGTAGGGGCAGAGCGACTGCTGCTTGCCTGGAGGAGCTCGGAGAACAGAGCGCCACGGAGGTGGACAGAGCGCTGGAAATTGTTGGAAATCAACGGGGGGAAGGGTGGGCTGCGACTAACGTAACCTCTGCTGGGGGCAGCCTGGGCTTCCCTCCTCCCTCTCTTCCTCCTGCTCCTCGTCTTTGTTTTGCATGCTGGGTGGAACCCAGGCCCGCACTGCCCCTGGAGCCTAGCGTGTGCAGAAGGTCCCACGTCCACGGCAGGTTTGCTGGGTGCTGTGCTGATTTTTACCTCCTCAGCCCCGGCTCGCTGCCGCATTTGCAGTTGGTCAGGATGCTGGCACCCGGACCTGCCTTGCTCCCGGCCAGGAAAGCGTGAGTAAGAAGCCCAGGCCGAAGCCTCCTGCTCGCTCTGGGGCTCACGGAGAGACCTGCTCCCATCGTGAGGTGCACCCCTCTCTCCTTCCTTCGCTGTGGCCGGTGGAAGTCTGAATCCCGGGTCTGGGCAGAGCCGCCAGGTGAGTGCGCTGAGGCCCGGCTGGGCCTGCGGAGGCGGGTGAGGGCGTGGCGCGGAAGAGACAGCCCTGGGTGTGGGAGGTGGCGGACCGGCTGCCAAGGGCTCTGCCGCTCGGTGTGAGACCTCCTGCAGCTGCCGGCCCAGGTACCGCCTGAGTGGAGTTATATAAAAAGCCTTTATGAGCCTGGAGAGGGTGTAATCCGTCCTGGAAGAACACACGCTTCATTGTCTGCCGGCGCTTGTGGGTTCCTCGGCTCCATCTGTCTATTATGGGCGCTCCCCGCCTTGTCTGGTCTCCGCAGGCGGAGTTTCTGTGGGCTTCCGTGAGGCCGCTTCAGAGAACAGGATCCCAGCCCTTTAGGAACCGGAGCATGAGCAGGGCTTTCTGGCCCTCCTCTGGCTGTGAGAAGAGCTTCTCTGGAAGACTGACTTCGACATGTTTGCCTGGCTCTACTTCTGTTTTGGCTGTGTCGGGCATCGAACCCAGGGTCTTTCCCACGCCAGGCACCAAGCTGGTATTTGGAATCGCGTGCTCTTCATAACACAGCTGAGCACGTATGTTCGCACCAGTCACATGCACGTGGAAGCTTTGAGCGCACGCACTTTCTCAACTGCTGGTTTTCACCTGGACAGACTTGAAAGTTGTGAGGCACGACCAGGGCTGGCTGTGCTGCCTCAGAGTGGAGGAGCCCCGGAAAGCCAGCGAACTCGCCCCCTTGGACGGGGAGCGCTGGGAGCAAGTCAAGCAGCCACTGGAAGCTGCACTAATGTGCTATAGGCAGGTCTTCCTGGCTGTCATTCTCATACCCTTGTCTAGCCTGCTTTCCCTTGCAGGACAGCAAAATGAAAAGCACTTTTAAACAATCATGTAACACACACACACACACACACACACACATACACATAACACACATACAATCTGGACTGACTGTGGGAGTCATATAAGCACTGCAGCCCTTAGCTGCCCCAAGATTCCAGTGATAGGAAGAGGGGACAGTCAAGTCAGAAAAGGCTACTCACCCTGAGGACCTCAGCCCAGGTATTGTCACTGTCAAAGCCCCACCCCCCCTGTGTGCCCCACCCCTCCTTTTCCCCAAGGACAGTTGCCGCCTGCTTTGGGCCCTGGAGGGACAGGAGACCCTGTGGAGGGGACTCAGCTTCCAGAACTTACCTGGGCAGCAGGACTTGGGTCTTGTCTGTCCCTGTCACGTCCCGGCCAGCTGTAGTGGACGGAGGTGATGGGGCTGGGCTCCCTCTGGGATCAGCCCGGCTCCCAGGCATCGGGGCTCCTGGTGGCATAGAGGTCGCCTTGGTCGGGCTTCCAGAAATCTCTCCCAAGGAGCAGAGAGCCTGCTCACACCGGTGAAGCCAGGAAACTGATTTTGTGTGTGTTCCTCGAGCCGTGGTGTGTTTGCACAAGCTGAGCAGAACCCCTTGTGAATTACTTCACTCCTTGCAAACACTCTGTGCAGCCTTCAAAATCGCCCAAGGATCTTTTCATGAGTTCAAAGGAAAAATGTGCTATTTTAGTGTACGAACCCATCTCTCCAGAGCTGCAGAGTTACCACGTCATGTAGGAAGCACGCTGCCCTGGGGGTGGGCGGCAGGAGTGTAAGTGCTTGTGTTATTTTTTTAGTAGTGTATTTTTCACTAAATACATTTCAGAATCACAGGTGAGTGGCTCTATGCTGCTATTCACAGGCTGAGTCCAGAAGGACTTTTTTTTAAGACTGCACAAGATCAATGTTTTGGAAGTGGTTTTGGCCATGCATGGGGGCGGGGAATGGGGAGAAGGTGGAGAAGGAAGTGGCGGCAGCAGAGATGTGAACTTCCGCCTCTCCAGGACTCAAGGCCTGGGGGCTCCCAGATGCCCCAGCAGCCCGGCTCCTCCGGCCCCAACCTTTGTCCTGGGGACCAGCCAGCCCCTGTGGGTTAGTGAATTCTCCTCCCAGCCAGGGGAAGCTCTGTGGCCATTCCCAGCCTCACTGTGGGTGACACAGCTGGGGACAAGAGCCCCTGTTATGCCCAGGCGGGTCCTCTTCAAGAATGAGCTGGGTCTCAGGGAGCAGGATCCTTCCCACAGTGTGAAACAGCAGTCGCAGATGCTGGCGAGCATACAAGATTACTTGAGACCACTGTGGCCAGCGGCACTCCTTCCTTGGGGACACCTTGCAAGCTCTGGGACACAGAGGATGGGGACTGTGTGCTGTCTGGTGCGTTCAAGGTCCCTGTAAAGTTCATGCTATACATCAGGCACAGTAAGAGATCAGCAAGAATAAATAATGCTACAGTAGAGCAATGGTAACAGTGTACTGTTATATGTTTATAACGTAAGATTTATTTAAGAAGCATAAGCTTTTATTTCGGAACTTTCTGTGTGATAGTTCAGGACTGTGGTTGACCTGGGGTAACAGAGCCTGTGGAAAGGGAAGCCACGGATCGAGGACGACCACAAGGTTTGGTGATCGTGATTTTTGAGGGGACTTCAAAGGTGGAACTGGCACCACATGCCTGCCCACTGCGTGCTCTGATGCTGAGCTGCAGGTGACATTTGATTTTTAATTATTTTTGAAAGTTTTTTTGGCTTTTCTGAGACAGGGCTGCACTATGTAGTTCAGGCAGGCCTTGAAAACTCACCAGAGTATGTAGCTCAGGCTGGCCTCAGACTCTCAGCAATTCTCCTGCCTCAGCTTCCTGAGTAGCTGGGGTTACAGGTGAGTGTCACCATACCCCACGGTAACTTGTGTCTGAATGAAGTTCATCTGCTTTACAGGTGCTGTGGTCACACCCTGGGCCTCCTCCTGCTGAGTGTGTGCTGCGCATCTGTCCCCAGAACCCGTGGGATTTGCCTGGCACGATTTTCTCCGCAGGCTCATGCAGCCTTCGTGTTGGCACTAGGTGCCCTTCTGCGTTGTGTGTGGGCGTTTCAGCAGCAAAATTACCAGGCAGAAGCACCCAGAGGCGGGAGCAGGGCCCTGCACAGACAGGGAAGGTGCGTGCACGCTCCACATGGAGGTAGGGAGGCCGGCGTGGCCTCTTCTGGCTGTGGACCTGCTCCTCTGCCTCCTGATTTTTTTTGCTGTGTGTTACATGGCTACAATGGCCATAAGAGAGACAAGGGTTACAAATGAATGTCAGTGAGTGTGAAAATTTGCAAGTGTGGAACCCACAGAGTGAAAGACAGGCAAAGTGTTGATGAAGCTAATGTACATTTTTAAGATCCATTAATCCTGGATAAAGTTAGTGCCTAACAATTTAATTATAGGCTTTATACCGTATGAAAATGTTTAAAATCAGGTGCTGTGGCACCCTTTAACCCTGCACTTTGGGAAGCTGAGGCAGGACTATTGAAAGCTTGAGTCTTGTGTGCACAATATAGCAAGGCATCGTCTTGAAATAAGAAATAAAAAAGCAACTGGGGATGCTGTTTAATGTGAAGGCAGGCCCTGAGTTTAATCCTCAACACCACAAAAGGATTGAAAAGAAATAACTGCCTTCCTAGAGTGTTCTGCTAGCAAAGACGCACCTTGGAAATAGCTCTCTGCTCTCTTCCTCCCGTGAGGTCGGTGCTGCCTTTCTAGCCTGGCTTTCCACACTCACCAGAAGATCACCCAGCAAACACCTCTGTGCTTCTGGGTCCTTGGACGTAAGCCCCAGTGGGCAGCTGACCGAGATGGAGTTTGGGATGCACTGAAGAAGACCCTGACCGCTGCCGAAGCGTGGGCATGAGCAGGGCTGTGCTTAACACATAAGAGGGAGGAGATCATTTCCCTTGGGGATGCTCTTTCCGCCACTTTGGGCTACACTGGGGAAAAGTGGTTCAAGTTGGAGATCCTTTTGGGTGTCTTTTTTCTGTCCTCACGACAAGAAGTGTTATGAAACTTTAAAGTGAGATGGGGAAGCTCTCCGTGCAGCACAGCCTTTCCTGCTGCCGGCTCTTACTCCAGGAAGGTGGGGGCTGTGCAATGGCCGGACTGGGGAGACTGAGCAAAGGCAAAGTGACCTCTCTCCTGCGCACCTCCTCAGAGGCTCGGGCAGCTCGTGGCCGCCTGGAAACCCTGGGTGCACAGTGTGCTCCACAGAGTTGCTATGGCCCCGGGAGGGTGCTCTCCAGCCTCGCTTTGGGAGATCCTGTGTGAGGACTGGCTGGTGCACAGAATGCAAGGATGTATCAGTCAGCTTGCCGGCACTATAGCGAATATGCAGAGAATCAGCACATAAAAGGAAAAGGTTTACATTGGCTCATAGTTTTGGTCCTGGTTGGTGGAGCCTGGAGCTTTTTAGCCTGTGGAGAGACAGCCACACATCACTGCCGGGTTGAGTGTGCTGAAACAAGCCCTTCACTTCATAGCAGGGAGCAAAAACAGAAGAGGAGGTTGGAGTCCCACTGTCCCCTTTAAGGCCCCCACCCGCCACTTCATAAGATCCCCCCTTTGGGGATCTCCCTTCCAAATCATAGCACTGGGAGTGTCTGCCCAGGCCGCAGCCCCGTGGTGGGGACAGCGCAGAGTGAAAGCAGAGTGCTTCTTCCCTCTGCCTCCCATCCACGAACTCCCATCCACGCTCTCTTTTTTCTCTCTGTATGTGTTAGGGGCCACTTCCTGTTTTGTTAGGGGCCACTTCCTGTTTTGTCAGAGCCTGAAATGGCCCTGCTGCCCTTCTGGTGATTTCCCAAGACGCGGTCACTGCCTGCTGCAGAGAGCAGCGCCACTTGGTGTTGGCCGTGGAAACACAGGCCATCGGCTGCCAGGGGAGGAAAGTAGCTCCTGGCGACTTCCCTTTGAGCATGTTTTCATGGCGCACTGATAATCATCTCAGCCTCAGTTACCAAACAAATATTTCGGGAGGTGCCTCAGCAGCAGCTCATGGTGGTTTGAACCTCACCAGGCCCAGTGGGGCCGACACCAGTCTCGTAACTGCCTTGTTGAAATCTTGTGGCTCACCAGCCTCCTGTCACAGTTCTCAGGCAGGCAGTGGCACACATAGAGCAGTGGGTAGTAGCATGTTTGAATATCACCGCAAAGTCACTCAGCAAGGGGAGTCGTGCGGATTCTCACAGTCCTCTTTGACTTTGATCAGCTCGAGGCTTGGTATCAGACATCTCTGTGCGTGAGAAAAGCATCACAAAATTGTCCAGCATCCACTGCCCGCCGGGCAATGTGCTAGGTGCTAGGAGATAAGGTGAGCCTGCTCTGGTTCTGTCGCAATTGAAAACAGGGCTCACATTTGCAGTTGAGTAATGACAGTCACAGCTGCCATCCCCCAGTGCCCGCTCTGTGCCTGGCTTGGCAGATTCACTCCAAACCATAGTCTGGAGTTGCTGGCCGTTGCTGGAACACAGATTTTTAAAAATGAAATTGATCTTAATTGTTGGGTATTAGGTGAAAAAGAAGCCCCCAGCCAGTGTCTGCCTCAGGTAGGAGCCTCAGGTAGAAGCCTCGGGTAGGAGCGTAGGGAGAGTGACTTATTGACAGACGGCGACATCTGTTTCTGACCCATCTCCGTCTTCTCAGTTCTTGGCCCAAAAACAGACCCTCAGCTTGTGTTCACTGAAAGAATGAAAACGGTGATTAAAAGAAGAACAGTGAACTGCTTCACAGTAGAGGGCAGATAGGAGCACCTCTCGGACTCAGCGTTCTTAGGAGCATTTCTTGCTTTTTCTGTTCATTTGGGAAGTGAATGACACAGGTGAAGGGAAGGGTGTGGTGGAGTCGGGCTGCCAGCTCAGTGCAGCCTGTGGCAGGGGCTTCCTCGCTTTATCCAGAGAGCTGGGGTACAAGTGCTGTGGGTCATATGTTATCGGGAAACGGCCTCACCTCTGCATTTCACACTGTGTCTTGGCAGATGTTCCGGGACGTTGCAAGCGCTGGCTGTGAATGTCACGACAGACACGCTGTTGCATGTGCTCTTGTTTGTGGCGGAGAGGATAATTGTGGAGTTCTCCTCCAGCAAGGTTCCCTGGGCAGGAGACAGCTCTAGGATTGGCATCTAGCTTTTCGCTAAAGTCTGCAGTATGGCACATTTCCACGAAGGTCACTCAACATAAGCTCCCAAACATCTTCCTGGGACGTCACTCTGCAGTGGCCAAGCCATACACACCCAGCCCCGTCGCCCTGGGGACCGTGACCACGCAGCGGCGAACCAGTGCTCCCGCTGTTCACAGGGGAGACAGGCTCGTGCCCCGATCTATGGAGTCTCGTTGCCCAACTCCTTTATTCACTTGCTCACAACTTTCTGCCAAATTCTTTGAGGCTGAAACCTTTCTTGCCTGGTACTGGGCCATGCCTGCCCAAAGGTAAATTTTTCTGGAGCGTTCCTGCCAGAGCTCTCAGGCCTTTGAGTCAAGGAAAAAAGGAATTTTTCATTTAAAGAGGTTGGCTGTGTTCGACCACACCCAAAGCTTAGTCTGGTTACTGAGAGATCTTTCTGTCTCTGTCTCTGTCTTTGTCTCACGCACACACACACATACACACACAAACATTTGAACCCACTCTCACAGCCAGTATACACTCTCATAAGCAGATACACACACACCTGATCCACAACATACATACACACTCACTTTTATGCAATAGATACACTAACACTTAAACACATTCTGTATACCAGTCCATTCCTGTATATACCAGCACTTAAATGCTGCACACTGACACATTCCCATAATCGATATACACTCACACAATTTACACACACCCACAAGCTGCACACATTAGACCTACACACTTATGCACTCAGATACATGCAAACACACCGGTGCCGGCACACCCAGCAGACACTCACCCCACACTCTCACACACACGCTCTTGTAACTCAGTGTGTACACACAGGGCCCAGACTCAGGCGTGGAGACATACGCAGGACCTCCACGCTCAGGCTGGGCCGGGGAGACCAAGTGAGTCCACTTTCTCCATGGGGATAAAGATGCTGTCTGTGTGGTCTGTGTGCCAGGAGCGGCGGCCAGAGGAGCAGGTGGCCTCTGGGACCGGACTGCGGGATTTCTCGGCACGTGCAAACACACCATGGGGCTGGGACTTGCGGATGAGGGGTGTGAAGCAGCACGGGAGAGGGGCCGGGCACTGACGGCACACTGAGAGCGGCTGCAGGGGGGAAGCCTGGCCTGGCTGTGTCCCTTGCAGCATCCATTTCTTGGGGCGACATGCGCATTGTCCACTGTGAGGACGCGAGGCCAGCTCATCCCGCTCCCCTCACCAAGGCCTTGCTTCTTTCTAATACTGTAGGAAGTGGCCACCCAGAGCTGGTGGAGGGCAAAGGTGTGTGGCACTCCAGCCAGCACCCCCAACCTGCCCAAGCACCCAGGGAGCTGCTATCAGAGCTGCCCTCAGCAGCAGCCTTTCCCCAGCACCCAGAAAAAATGGTGCTGGCCTGGTGATCGGCTGCCTCCTGGGGGCCAGGGAGCCCCTACAAAAGCCATGGTGCAGCCGGGCTGCTTTTCCTTCCCACTCCTCCTATTTCCCTTTCCTTCTTTAGCAGCTCTTTCTTTAGCCTGACGCAGTCTCCAGAAGGCCCCTAATAAACAGTTGGACACAAACATCACCTGTTTTCCGAAAAACTAAAGTGTCTAGCTTTTTATATTCAAACCTTTATTGCCCTGTGTCTTTTTATTCAACAAAAGAAAAACAGAAGATCTGAAGCCGTGGGGCGGGGGGCAAAGAATTTAGGAAGATAAATTGGAGGACAAAGTCCCAATCTTCGGTCGGCATCTTCCAGGGACCCTGGCAAGCCCAGCAGAGCCCATCCGTCCTGGCAGAGTGTCGGGGGCTTCAGACGGAGGCCGGAGTTGCGTGCTCATCCATGGTCACTTGGCGGGCTTGGGAGCAGAGGCAGAGTCACATGGAGGCCTGTTGGGCGGTTGGGAGCGACAGCCGCGCATTGGGTTGGTGTTGAATGAGGTCCACCTGGAGCAACGCTGCTCCCCTCCTTGCCTGGACCAAGGCCAACACGCCTGCACTGTGGATATTCTCACTTCCAGTCTGTTTCTTGGGTATGTGGATGGACAACATGTGAGCCCCCTAGAGGCAGGGGTGGACAGGACAGCATCTCCTGGCAACCATGCACAGTAGGGGCATGAGTTAGAGGAAACCCCCTTTTCTAGCTCCTGAAGCCAGGGACTTCCAGCTCTACATCGGAAAGGTTACTTTGCCACATGGCCCCAAGCTACAGGTGATTTTGCAGAATTTTGAAAAGGTCAGCAGGGTTATATAATGATGGAAGGTCGAGAATCAAAGTTTCGACCCAATAACCTATAAAATCTTCTTTAAAACCAAGGTCACCTACATTGAAGAAGTCTTTATTTAAAAACCAAGGTAAAGATCTTGAAGACTTTCTTTATCTTTTAAGTTACATTTTTGTGGTTTGAGTGGGCGAAACAGAACTGTGGTTTCAGTAGAAAAAGACCCAACAAGGTGGGCATTGAGAGGGCGCCACCCAAGCCTCACCCTGCCTTCACATGGCGCCAGACTGACTACTTCCACCGGGAAGGGTCAGCACATATATATTCATGATGGAAAGAAATTCTTAAAAATTGGTATTTTTTTCTTTTTACAATCCCCCCCAACATTTTTAAAAGAATTTTTAAAAAATTCTCATTTTTCTTGTTCTTTTAAAATCCCACAATGCAAGATATATTGCTACTTTTTTAAAAATTTAGGCAATATATCCTGTTGTTTTCTCCTTGGTATACAGGGACGTTCTTTAGAGCTGCCTGGGGCTCCGTAGACGTGCTGAGGCTTATCTAACCAATCCTTCACAGATGGGTACAGGTATTGCTGCTGGTCTTTTATTCTAATGAACAATGACTGAATAGATCACATTGGACATATGTCATCATACCTTTATGCAAGACTGTCCATAAAGCAAATTCACAGAAGTCAGATTGCTGGGTCACAGGTAAGTCATTTTATACATTTGATAGTTATAAGTTCCCTTTCCACTGCTGTTTTACCACTTTGCCATTTTACCAGGGCTGACAGTGCTTATTTCCCAACTAACATATTGACTAACTTCTGGATTTTTGCTCGTCTTCTGAGAACTGTAGCCATCACAATGTCATTTAATGCAGATTTCCTTTGAGTAAGATTTTGCATCTTTTCATATAGTCATATTTCTTTTCTGTGAACTTTCTTTTTCTTATTCTCACTTTTCTGTTGGGCTATGAGATTTCTTCCTTGGGATTTATAGAAATTCTTTATGTATTAGGAAGACTAACCCTTGTCTATGATATGAATTACAAATTTTTTTTTCAGTTTGTTATTGGTCTGTTGACTTTGTTGATGGTATATTTTTCAACTTTCTATTATGAATAAATAAACCATTGAAAGAACCAATGCAGTGATAGGCGAGATACATCTACCCCCCAAATTTAATAATTGACAGTGGTTACCTGATCTGTCTTATTTCTATGTGCATGTGTGGGTATGTGCATATTGGTAAAAGTAGAAATAGAATTTCTTTAAACTCAAGGACTTAAGTATGTATCTTCCAAAAATAAGAACATTTTCTTACACAATCATCATATATTTTTTATACCCAAGAAAAGTCAGTAATTCCCTAATATCTAATATCTGTATGATCTATGCTGTTTTTATCATATATAAGTTTTTAATTTGGATAATTAACCAGTCTCACAATCTTTTTGAAATGACGATTGAATTTTTGAGTCTTATTTAAAAAGATCTTCCTAATTAAGGCTTTAGAGGTATCTGCCCTTGAATTTTTCTATGATTTTTACGCTTTTATTTTCTTGTGCTTAAGTCAATGACAACTCTGGAATTTATTCTAGTGTATTCTTGGATGGGTAGACCCAGTGTGTCTTTTCCCAGATGGCTTCCTGGTTACAGCAGCCCACACTGATCAAAATATATGGCGAGTATAATAATTACTGCGATACAAATCACACTGCCATTAATCCTTCTCAAAATATTTCCCCTCTCTTTGAACACATTTATCCCTTCATGCTAGCCCCTTTCTGAAGCCATCCCGGAAGTTCTCTTTCATGAGTGTCTTTACCAGGTGTGATGAAAAATACAGCGAATGTTCATGCCAAGTGCCATGGAACAGAAAGTCAGGCCCGTACAAACACTGCACTGCGTCCTCATCCATCTTATTCACCAGATCTGGCATCGCAGGACTGCTGGCTCTTCCCCAAGGTCAGAATGAACATGAAACGCAAATGTTTTGAATCAATTCAGGCACCAAGGCGGCCCCAACAGTGCAACTAAAGGCATGAAAGAAGACTCTAAAAGTGTGTTTTGAGGGATACTAATGGAAATGTGTCTTTTGCTGTAATACATTTTAAAAAATTTAAACATTTATTGTGTTTTTTGATCACTCCACATAAAAGTCCTTCTGAAAGCCAAGTGAGGTATACTAAGGCTGCAGCTCTAGCCACTGGGCAGGATGAAGCAAGAGGATCACTTGGGGCCAGGGGTTCACGGCCAGGCTGTGCACCAGTTAGGAAAGAGGGGAGCCCTCACACCCCTGCCTTAGGTGGAAGTGTCAGTTACCCTGGTTTGATCACCACCTGTTGGATCCATGTATCAAATTATCACCTCATGTGCTGTAAAGTGAGATTACCGTGAGTGAAGGGAAAATAAGAATAAATGCCGGTATTTATTGTCACAGGTTACACAGTGCCGTTTATGAAACACTTTGCATGCTCATTTGACTCCGTTTCCGAGCTTTCCACTCCATGAGTCTATTCTCCTTCCAGTTTTAACTCTTGAATCTTTAGAGGATTGAAAATTCTTGAAACTTGTCCTTCCTCATTTTTCTTTCTTTTCAGGATTCTCCTGACTTTCTTTTTTTTCTCTTTCATATCAACTTTAGAGTTACTTGTCTCATTACAGGAAAACTCCACTTAAAAAACTGAGAGGGCGATCTCCAGATTCCCTAAATGAACTTACACTTGGCGTCTCCTAATGGTGAGCATTGGAAGTTCTGCCTCCACGCAGCTGACCACGCTATGAGCCCCCTCAGGTACGCGGAATTGCATAGTATTCGCCCTTTTGTGACCACTCATTTCACTCAGGGTCATATCGTCATGGCTCATCCAAGTCACAGCATATGTCAGAATCTCCTTCCTTTTTTAGGCTGAATAGTATTCCTTTGCACGTAGAGCCCACATTTTATTTATTTAGTCTTTTGTCCCAGACCTTGGATTCTCTTTCAAACATTGACGTGAAAGTCCCCAGTGAAACGTCTGTTCTTGTCCACTGTAGTTTGTCCAGAACCTTGCATAGCAGACAAGGAACACCCACAGAATACTGGGGACATTTTCTCAGTACATGATAGCAAGCTGATATCCATATATAGTTAAGATTATGAAATGGAAGGTTATAAAAAGTTTATCTTCCATTTATATGGCACTCTTCAGCATTCAAAGTATTTTAAACGTACAAATGTGCTCATTTTAGCAACACCAGAGCCCCTTGAAGTATGGGGGAGGTGTTACCCCCTTTTACCATCTGTATGTTGCATCAGTAGGAGCTGGAGGTGGGGAACACTGTGTGACTAGCCTGAGGTCTACCTAGTGCACAAGATGAAGCCGAGTCCCATGGACTCGTGTCCAAGTTCAGTGGTTTTGCTTCCTGCCCACCTGCTTTTCCTCTGTGCTATGGTTTGGGTGGCAGAGGGGCGGCTCTGGGGGCTGTCTGTGCATGGGAGCCCTCACAGCCAACCCTCCTCGGGGACCACCAGGGAGATAATGTCCTCTCTAAATCCTTGGGGACTTTGTCTCCTCACCTTTGTGTCGAAGGACACCACATGTCCACTCCTTGCCTGAATCCCTCCTGCAGAAGACCCTAGGTAGCTAGCTGCTTATGACAACCTATACAACAAAGGCTTAGGGGACAGGAGGACAGCACGGCTCTGCCAGTCCCAGTATGGCAGGTGAGCCGCTGAGGGCCTGGAAGCTGCAGCTTAATTATACAGCTGGCTCTTTGGCCGGGAGCCTGGGTGGGGTCTGAAGCTGCCTGTGTCCCATTCTGGGAGAGTGGAGACCTTCCTGGGGCAGGCCCGTGGACACTTTTAGGTCATTCTTGCCCTGGTTGCCTTAGAGCTACTGCCCTCAGTCAGGGATGAATGCCATTGACCTTAGGTGTCGCAGCCTGCAACTCAGCTTTGTGGTTCCCCTCTGGAAGGTTTCCAGCGTCTCGATGTTTCCCTGAACTTGGGGTGCTGCAAACTGTCTGCGGTCTTCTTACAGGGCTGAACCAAGGTTACGATCCACAGAATAAAGCCAGCCTTGTTCCCAGTGAAAACCCTCAGTGTTTTACCTCTTTGTGTGTGCTCGGTGCATTATGCGTTCGGTAAAAATCCTATTAGCGACTGTGTGACATCATCCGCTTAGAAGGATTTGGTGCTCACTGATACCCAGAACTTCTCTGGAACGGTCCCTTTCCCTGTCACCTTCCCACTGCTTCTCAGTATCTGCCACAAAAGCGAACTAATAACTGTGCGGCCGCTCTCCTTCCTGGGGCTTTTCACGTGGGGACCCAGTGTCCTCTCCGAGCCAGGACTTGCCTCATTCTGGTCTC